AGAGAGAGTCAAGGGGGGGAATGGATACTGGGTGTAGCGGCCATATCACAAGCACAGAGAGAAGGTGCTCGTCAGTGGCCTTGAGAGTGGTGACACACGTGCAACTATTTCCTCTCTTTCCTGGTTACATTTTACCAAGAGTCCATTCGATGGTCACCTAATTTACTCTAGTCTTAGGTTAGAGAAACATTTGAATTAAATCCATATTGTGAAAGAGGTGTTTGCTACTATATGTTGAGATAAGCTTTGAAATTGGAATGCAATCAATGCGGGACCGATTTATCTCAGTAACTTTTTGGACACTCGTCTGGGTTTATCTTGTATATTGGACGCTGGACCCGATTTCCAGCAGGTGAGGCCCCCGACCAATAGATGAAGCCTCCCTCCCGGGGCTTAAAAGGGTTAAAAAACAATAATAATTGTTTTTTAACCAACCCTTTCCAAGCTGTAGTCCCATTTGGGAAGAGGCTCGGAGGCAGTGGTGGTTATAAAGTAAAATTAAAAAAAAGGGTTGGTTTTGGATAGGCTGGCATCACCTTTTAAATCTAGTGTTTGGTGGCGTAGCGGTGGGTAAAAAAAAAAAAGCGGAAAAAAAAGGGTTGGTTATGGATAGGCTGACATCCCCTTTTAGATCTAGTGTTTGGTTGGTGGCGTAGTGGTGGTTAAAAAACAATAATAATAATAATAATAATAAAATAAAAAAGGGTTGGTTTTGGATAGGCTGACGTTGCCTTTTAAATCTAGTGTTTGGTGGAGGGGAGGCTTGGAGTTTGCTCATTTACTTCAAGAAGTTTCGTCATGGACTCGTCAGTTTTATCTGTCTTTTATACAACCCTAGGCGATATCTGAGTTTCTTCTCATGTCGAATACATGATTCTATAGGTGGTTGAAGCCTGGCCGATGCCTTGCAAAGCTGTGGCGTTCTGTGCTCTTGGTTTGCCGATGCCAGAACAACGCTGGCTGGTGCTGGCCTAAGGCGTAGCCCTGTGACCTGTTTGTACCAGGAGCGTGAGGCCATGTAGAGAGATCTGGGGATTCGTCGAGGGAGGAAGGCAATCTCTGTTCCAGTGGCAAACTTGGGGAGGATACCATGACATCCTAACTTTTCCTAAGGGGGCGGGTATAGTCTTGGTAGTCAGAACACGACGGCTATGACAGGTATCGGCGAGGCAGATATTCTCTTCGCGTGTTGTGTCTGAAATAGGGAAGCAAATATTTGCTCATGGAGTGTGAGGCCAGGTTTTGCAGATGTGGTTCGTAGTGTTTTCATAGATTTTCATAGATTTTCATAGATTTTCATAGATTTTCATAGATTTTCATAGATTTTCATAGATTTCCTTCACCATCATCGTCATCATCATCATCATCATCACCATCATCAGTAGCATCAGGGATGTGACTCCCAGCACATGTTGCTCTACCAACTCAACATTGTATCTCAGGGGACGATGGACCCGCGTTCCAGCAGGTGTAGCTCCCCACCAATAGACTGGAGGCCCCTGCAAGACAGGTAGGAGTGTATGCTCTTTACCATCACTCCGAACTGTTGTCGCGGGCGGAATTTTCCTAACAAAAAAACAAAGATTGGCATGCACTGCATATTTCACGGGCTCAAACAACCTTTCACTTGTGTTGACCTTGCAGTCTGCTCCATCATTTATTAAATTATTATTCATGTAACATGGCAATGACCATTACGTTCCAAATCTGACATGTTGGTTTCACTGTGTTCTTTTCCGAAGCCCTCTGCTAGTGTCCTTCATTGTGTCTTTTTGCATGATTCTCAACAGAAATTAGGCATCAGCACAAACCTTTGCTTTGTCTGCGGAGGAATCGGAGATGCAGAGAAGCGTTGCCCAACAAAGTTTAGCCCGGGACCTACCCCTAAAGTCAAGTAGTCCTGGGTTCGGGTTTATATTTGGTCGGAACTTGGCCCGAACTGGCATCACCTCGCCACCAAAACCTTACAGGTAGGGTCTAGGTACGGGCAGATAACGCATCCCGTGCCACTGTTGATAGAGGACAGGGAAAAGGCATCGTCAGCAACTTTATCCGCAATGCAGCATTGCTGCCAAGATGATTTTCCACCAGGCAGTGAGACGGTGGCACTCATCAAGGAGCCCAGTAGCGCCTCCTGGCTGTAGTGGAAGCTGTCGGCTACGGAAGTTCGGCTTCTCCCCGGCATCTTAATGTCGTTTACTGGACTAGTGTCTTTCTCCGAATAAAAGACATCCTAACCATGAATGCATACAAACCAGCCATCTGTTTGGTCTAAAAACATAAATACGGGCATGATGAGAGGGCATAATTGTGGTCGGGGGAAGCGGTACGGTTGAGGATCATGATTCGCACAAAGGTAAGGCATGAGCTTGATACAGCAGCTCCCCTGGAAACCCCTCCTCCTCTAGGAGAGCTGTACTCCCCCTGGGCTAGGAGAGGCGAACGCTCCCAGCGGCTCGGTGGTCGACAACTTAAAGCCTGCTCTGTTTAGCTACTGCTCTTGGATGTCGATTCGGCGGATGATGAAAGGCAATCCTAGCTGGTGGGGCCTTACTGCTGTGAGGCTCTTGCAGCGCTAAGCGTGTGCAGAGGCACAGGTGAGAATCCCAAATCAATGGGGGGGTGTTTCCGAGCACCCTCACGACAAGTTCAAAGATCAATACAGTGTATATTGCAAGGTGATCGTAAAAAAGAAAAATCATTATTAACAAGGAGAGGTGGCAAGATGGTTTCGATTCCAGATTTGCTGTTCTCATTATCTTCCAAGTCTTCTTCTGTGTGTTGTATCGCTATATTCTCTCCTCTCTCCTTCCTAAGTTCTTTCTTCTTCGCGTAGTTGTGTTCGTTTCTGGGGAGGAGAAAAGACAGAGTGGGGAAGATACCTTTTTCTCGTAAGCTTTGTAATCCCCTCCCACGAGCTTCTGAGTCTTTCTTTTTTTTCTTTTTTAAACAAAAAGGAAAGCCCCGTCTATTCTGGGGGGCAGCAGTTCGGTTGCTTATCACCGGCAAGCATACAAATTGAATCGTCAATAGTACCATCCGGTAAACCCAGAAAAAGGGGGGAGAATAGACAGAGTGGGGAAGCTTCTGAGTCTTTTCATCCGTGCGGTTCCTCTTACATTCTCTCCTAAATCTGCTCAGATTGTGCCTGGTGAAAAGCCTTCTACGATTCAGACCCCAAATTCAGGTCTCAGGGTCAGAGGCCCTGGCCAAGAAAGGCCGAGCTAGTCAATTTCAGAAAAGTCACAGTTGTGATAATAAGGGCTGCGCTACCTTGGTTCTCAACTTATCCCGACTTGGCTTTGTGTGAAGCTTCTCTATGTATGTGACTGACGTCTATGCATGCAGTGTGATACACTCCAGCAAGTTGCCAACTGTCAGGTTCCTTGCACCTCAGCAGTCCAGTCCAACAGCCACCCAGCAAACAGTCACATCTTAGGGGCAAGAATCGCATCTCATAATGAAAAGTCGTATTGAAGAGTCACATCCCACGAGTAAAAAGGGCAACTCCACAGGCAGGAGTCGTGACCCAGCGGCAGGAGTCACAGTCCACAGTCAAAACCATATGCCAAAAGAACAGTCAAATCGAAAAGTCATGACTCAAAGGCCCAAGCAGCAGCAGACCCATGGAAATTGGGGAAGGTGCTAGGCCTTGACATTCGAAAGCAGACAGGCCGTGGGGATGTGGTACCGGGACCCAGTCAGGCCCCAAGAAGCAGAGACTGGCACAACTTGAAGTGCAATCCAAGACTACAAAAGGACTGGCCAGCCTCCTCAATGGGCAGATTGCTCATTCGCATGAAGTGCGGAAGTGCGGAAGTGCGGAAGTGCTGGTGCACTTGTGCGCTGTTGTGAGGAGCTGAGCGCTGAAGCCAGAGTGCTGCGCTGAGAGAGAAGGAGAGATAGCGCTGGCAGAGGGAAGGCAGCCATAGCCACGCTAGTGCAGAGTGTTAGTAGGCATATCAGTGGGTGTATTCAGAGTAGGTCCTTGAGTAGTAGATGTGTGAGTATATGCAGGTAGGGAGAGAAGACACAGAGAGGTGGTAGACTGAGAGAAGATCAAGATAGAGAGAGAAGACAGAAGAGTTTTGGAAGAGAGACATACCCGAATGGAGATTCTGGATACTTGGGTTTGTGCTGTTGAGCGCCTGTGACCGAAACTCCTAAATTGTTTATATTATAATTTGTTGGAATTCTGAGCTGCGCTTCATGGTCTTCATCTCTCTGGTCTCTAGTAAGAATCTCGTGTGATCGCATACATGCATGTGGTGTGATTGTGTGCGTTAATGATGTTGAACTAGGAGGCTCGTTGCACTGGGATATAAGTTATTCCTTCTCTCTCATAAGCTCCTGAGTCTCTTTCTGGGTGTGCTTGTGTTTGGCACCGTTTGCTTCTCTATCTTTTCTCGTAAACTTAGTAGTCCTCTCCCATGAGCTTCTGAGTCTTTTCCTCCATGCTGTTCCTCTTACCTTCTCTCCTAAATCGGCTTGGATATTGTCTGGGCTGACTTGGGATGCATTGGGCTTCTGATTGTTCTTCTGTGTGTTGTGTCTCCATCTGAGTCTTCTATCTCTTTTCTTTTCTTTTCTTTTCTTTTTCCTTTTTTTTTTTTCTTTTTTTTTCCTCTTCTTCCCCCCCNCCCCCCCCCCCCCCTCCCCCCTCATCTGAGTCTTCTCTCTCTCTACTATGGTGGCAGTTCACCATATCATGTACAGTTTTTCATGGACGAAAGCTGAAAGTCCCATACCACCATCACCGTGGCATGCATGGCACCAAACTACTGCTGTGCTCATGTGCCATGAAATACAGCACACCTCAAGACACAGGCATGACTCACACGAGCAGGCAGCTCTACCACATCATTACCGACAGTGAGAGAACGAAACAAAAAGAGAAAAATACATACCGGATTGGTGAGCAAACATCCATGCCACCTGGCCAGAGACAGCAAATGGGACAATCATACCATCAGAACAACAATAACAGCACGAAGACCGTAAGTGGTGTAAGGTCGAACAAAAGAATGCAACAACATTGTTAAATCCTACTTTCCACTTGAGCCATGGACTTCTGTTTGTCGAATCCTTTCAGGTCTCCTTGTTAAGATTCGAAATAGCATATCATTCCATGTGTCCGGTATTCCAGGGAGGCACCAATGCATGCAATCTCTCAAGCTTTCTCGATGAGAACGAACAATGTGTGCGTCGATTCGGTACATACTCAAGTGAGTTATGTCAAGTAGTTCAACCGAACCTCCTGTCTCAGAAAAGACGCGCTGCTGGACCTCCTCGTAACGAACTGCAGGAGATAGCTTCTCCATTTCCAGAACGGCGTCATCCGACCACGGCTGTGTTTCCGAACACTGTCCTCCGGAGTTCCAATCTCCACCAGTGAAGTGTGATGGGGCATACGACTGGAAAACCACCGGTCCTTTGAAGTTTGACTCGATGTGCTTTATGACTGTTCGCATGCCCTCTTCGAATGCCGTCAGATCATCCACCCCATCCCAAAGAGTGGAGTTACGCACGTAAAACTTTGTCTTCCCAGTGGCTTGATACCACTGCCCAGACCCAAGGACCATAGCATCACACGTCGTGATAATGTCTTTCAATCGATCATTCACCTTGTCTAAATGCACGACAACATAGTAACGGCCTTCTCGCGTCCGGTTAATAGCCTTGAATTCCTCTTGATCTGCGCTTTCCACAGTTAGAAAATGGGATGTCCCATAATGAAGTATCACACCATAGCTGCCAATGCATGAACAGCAACCAAACAAGGGCATGTCACATTCGCTCAGATGGCAATAACAAAACCCGATGGAACCTTTAATATGATAATAACAATCACCACCAGCATCCGCAGTACCAGCAGCAGCAGACCCGATAGCAACAACAACAAGAGTAATAAGAGGAGGAGGGGGAGGAGGGGGAGGGGGAGGGGGAGGAGCGGGAGGAGAAGGAGTTGAAGAAACGAGAGGGACGAGGAGCGCAAGGAGGATGAGTAGGACGAAGAAGAAGAAGGAGAAGAGGAGACGAGGAAAAAGAAGCAGAAGCACTGTGAAGAGGAGGACGTGAGGAAGCAGATGATGCGAAGGAAACAGAAAAGGCGGAGGAGGAAGACCAGATGCAGAAGTAGAAGCAGAAGCAGGAGAAGGAAGGAGAAGAAAGGAGGAGGAGGAGGAGGAGGGGGACGAGGAGGACGAAGAAGAAGAAGGAGAGAGGAGACGACGAAGAAGAAGAAGGAGAGAGGAGACGACGAAGAAGAAGAAGCAGACGGACCGGGAAGACTCTGAGGAGGACGTGAGGAGCGGAGCACAAGGAGAAAACAGAAAAAGCGGAAGGAGGAGGAGGAGAAGGAGAAGGAGTAGTAGTAGTAGTAGTAGTAGTAGTAGTAGTAGAAGAAGAAGAAGAAGAAGAAGAAGGCTGTAAATCAAATTTGTCAGCACAACTATGCAATATGCTGTGCAGTGTGCAAAAGCTTTTGCGCTGCATTGAAGAAATAACAAGAAATAACGATAGCGGTAGTCAAAATTAATTTTTGGGGGGAATCGACAATTGATTTTTTATTCCGATTAAATGAAAAAGAAATATGATCTTAGGCCCCAGTCAAATGTTGCTTGAAAGCCTTGAAATAACTTACTAGTCACATTTTATCTCTTCGGAGTTCCGGAGCATGCGCACAATGTGCAGAGCAACAGTGTGGTGATCACAGTGTATCACTGTCAGTCCTGTTGGGCCCTGCCACAGCCGACAAAGACTCGGACTCTCCCTCTACACCTTTCCTGGGACTGTGCTCCGACTTGACCGGGACTGGACACGTGGTGACTCCCTACCCCGCCTGACCGCTAAGGAATTCTACTGTTCTACTGTTCCTGCACGCCTTATCCTACCGGATTCATTTTTGGCCTGTAAAGTTTTCATTTTTTTTCCTTTTTTTTTTTTTACCTACCGGAAAGTTCTAAGTGCATCCCTATGATAGGGCCTCGCTCCACTACTCAGCAACTGTGCAAAAGGAGAAACAACATTCCGCTAGAAGATGGAAACATACACGGGCAT